TTTATTCTCTCTCTCTCTCTCTCTCTTTGCTTATATATGACTTCGTGGAAACTGTACTTTTATTGAGTGATGGGATGCTTTGAACTGCCAGGGGAGTTGATCCATCTGCCACAGCACCAGAAATTAAGAAGGCTTATCGAAAAGCTGCACTCAAATATCACCCTGACAAGGTTTTGGTCAAACTTTTTGCTTCTGAATGACTGCCTCTACATTCATTGCATTTAGACAAATAAATAGCTAAATCGATTTATAAATTTGCTATTGAAACAGGCTGGTCAATCCTTGCCTAGAAATGAAAATGGAGATGATGGGCTTTGGAAAGAAATAGCAGAAGAAGTACATAAAGATGCAGACAGGCTCTTCAAAATGATTAGGGAGGCATGTGCAGTACTTTCAGACCCCACAAAGGTTTGTTTCAATTCTAAATGATTACAGGTTATCCACCTCTTTTTATCCTTTTCATAATACACACAAAATCCTCTGGCATGATATTGTCAAGTTCAAGTTAGAGAAGTGATCCTGGTGGTTGGAGGTAGTAAAGTATATGCATCTGAACCGTATTATTATCGAGTTAGTCTGATGGGGTGTAATGTTAATCATTGACTTGTGGTTCTCCATTATGTGTTTCCCAGGCCTGCAATACAAATTTATGTTGAACTTTGTAAATTTGCTCATTTAAGTACTTTATTTTTTAGAGAGAGAGAGAGGATATGGCTAAGAAAGAGGTGGGAAAATGAAAATATCTAGGGGTTGGATTTGGGAATGAAATGGGTTTCACTGTACTGAAAAGGGAGATGGTTAGCTGGGTGGTTGTAGAGAGAGAGAGAGAGAGAGGTGGGAAAATGAAAATGCTTGGGGCTTGGATTTGGGAAGGAAATGGGTGGAATGGGCGGTGGTAGGTCGGTTTTATTAAATTTTCATTAATTATAATTATTAAATCTAATTAACACCTGATTTGTGAAATGAAAATTAATCATCCTTATTTTTGAAAATTAGTCTTTAAATGTAGGTTTCTAAGTAATTTTTCCATTTTTTTTTTTTTTTTTTACACTTTTTACCACATGCGACCCATCAATTTCTTTTATTGAGAGAATGCATGGTTAAAAATGAATTTGAAAAAAGAAGAAATTTTAAAGAATTTGTACCAATCAAGGGCTTGATGTTGTTATGTTATCAACAAGTGATCAAACCATAAAACACGACATGGACAAATTGAAAATAAAATTCATTATTTTGTGCTTATTAATAAAACCATTTAAAGTTTTTATTGTACTTTTGATAATAAAAAAAATCAAATGGTTAAATAGTTTAATTAATATTTTAAGCTTCTTGTATATATATAGATATAGTGGTTCAACCAATAACTCCATATGATAACTAATTAGTGAGATCAATATTGAAATAGTATTTAGTCTCTGTTTGATAGCCATTATTTGAGAAAACAATTAATGTTTTGAATTGTAATTTTTACGAGAATGTGTAGTAAAGAGGTAAGGAAAAATTTTGAATTTATGGATGAAATCAAATTAGCGCATACTGTATATATAATTTAGATACTGGATTTAAGCATACCGTATATGCAATATACCATTTATGCAGTTTACCGTATTTGTAGCTTACCGTATATGCGATTACCGTATTTGCAGCTTATCGTATATGACAACTATTGATTTTACCCATTTCATATACTTACAATGAGAGATTAAATACCGTATATGCAACTAGCATATACTAAATTTCATTTACCAGCTGTTAGTAAGAAAATTCAGAAATTTTTTCTGATCGATTATTTTTTTTATTTTTAACATAAATATAAAAAAAAAGTAAACTGCAAAACATATTAATCAAGTAAATTGCAAACATGTAAATTGCTAAATAAATAAATATGCAAGAATAAGTTGTAAAGGTATAATTGCAAATTGCAAAATAAAAAAATAGCAAATGAATTTTCAACTCGAAGCCTGTGCGAACACAATCTCCTTTAAATAGATTCGCACCCTCCATCATATGTGTTTGAGGTCTAATTCGAGCGTCTGTTTTCAACTCAAGGATTGTGCGAACACAGTTTTTTTTAAAATAGGTTCGCCCACTCACCGTAAATGTTTGAGGTCTAATCAGAGCGTCTGTTTTTCGGGATACAACGGTAAAACACGTAAAATTTGAGTACCATAGATACTACTCCGGCGAACTGATCTAGCGTTGGTTCGACATTCGTGTATGTTGGTCGCGCCCGCACACAAATCTAAGGTCCGAAGGCTATTTCAGTCCATTATTTGCACCTCCTTTACGCGCGCATGTGGAGAGAGCCTCTATGTTATATATGATTACACGCTTTCAACGTACAACCATATTTATATGATTCTTGCTTTCATATTTTTCCTATGTGGGACAAACTCAATTTTTACTCAGATAAATCATTTTCTAATGGTGAATTTTGAGCTCCAATTTTCATTTTTGGTAAGTAAATATATGAATTCAATGCTCTCATGGAGGAGAACAAAAATCAATTTTGACCTTTCACTTTAGACTAAAGGATCCCACCGAAAAATTGTGCCAAAAGTGAACAATTTGCTCATTTTTCCAACATTTATTTCACAACTTAATTATGCAATTAAATTTTGACGATCGGCAATGTAAGAAAGGATTCAAAGATAAGTGTGACAATAAGCTAGTCACACCAAAATACTCATCTTGCATTTTCTTGGCTGTGATTATTCTAATTACTTCAGAAGTGACAGCATTTTAATTATATTACTTCAGAAGTGGCAGCATTTTCTTGACAGCGATTATTAGATGAATTGAAAGAGGGGAAAAAAGAGAAGGAAAGAAAAAAAAAATTAAGTTATTATAATATTTTCACTCTTCCATGTTATATATTTGTACACAATTATATACACGATGATGTACAAATAATATTACTTAAAATTTTTCAGTTGATGTGACATGTAATTTCCAATGAATAGACGATTATATTCAAATTTTATCTCCAATAAGTTCCGTCTAAAACTCAAATTTATTTAATAGGAAAGAAAAATAATAAACAGGAAGGTGAAAAACCAAGAAACATGAGAGAGAGTTTAAATTTTGTTGACTAATTCTGTCAAATAGAACCTCCACGTTTAAACAGACCTAAAGATATTATCATAGTAGATACTAATTTTAACTTCCGCTATTGTATGAACATACATAAGAGATGACTATAACTCGTTATGTATTGACGATGACTATAACTCGTTAGTTTTTATTAGTGAAATTAAAAATAGAAGAAAATAATATTAAAATAATTAAAAGGAAAACTCATCTTTTTCCCTCCATCCATCATTATCGCTCCTCCTTTCTTTCTTCCAAACTCCTATTTCCCCTTCGCTTAGGATAGGAAGGAACCAGAAGCAACTTTGAAGAAGACATAGTTATATATTTAGAGCATGTTTGGTAGAGCTACTTTTTACTAAAAAATGACAAATTAATCAAATTAAATTTTTAACAGCATGTTTTATTCCACATACAATTTTTCTTTTTCACCGTTTGCCACACATTTCATGCAACCCATCAATTGATTTTATTAAGAGAATGCATGGTTAAAAATGAATTTGAAAAAAAAAATGAATTTTAAAGAATTTGTACCAATCAAGGTCTTGATATTGTTATGCTATCAACAAGTGAAACCATAAAACACCACATGGACAGATTGAAAATGAAATTCATTATTTTGTGCTTATTAATAAATTATTTAAAGTATTTATTTACTTTTGATAAAAAAAAAAAGCAAATGGTGAAATAGTTTAATTAATATTTTAAGCTTCTTGTATATATATAGATATAGCGGTTCAACCAATAAGTCCATCTGATAACTTATTAGTGAAATCAATATTTAGTCCCTGTTTGATAGCCATTATTTGAGAAAACAATGTTTTGAATTGTAATTTTTACGAGAATGTGCAGCAAAGAAGTAAGGAAAAATAGTGAATTTACGTACAAAATATTGCATTGTGAAAAAATAATTTTCAAATAATAACCATCAAACATGTGCTTAATTAAGATCATGGTGCTTTAAAATGTACAAAGATCGAAAGTTTTCGTGAATTCATCTCTATTTCAGTGGAATTGATTTCACAACTTAATTATGCAATGTAAGAAAGGATTCAAATATAAGCTGGACTAACCAAAATACTCATCAAGAAAACTCAATGTTCATAAATCAGAGAGTAACATGGGTTCCAAGAAAATGCCAAGAAAATTCTCTTTTGCATTTTCTTGGCAGTGATTATTCCAATTACTTCAGAAGTCCAGCATTTTAATTATATTACTTCAGAAGTTTCATACTCTATTATATATGCTTTGTCTTAAGTCTGACATACGTATCATTATTTATTAAATAATTTTGAATTAATTTGTCTCGTCTTTATAAACGGTTTATAAACATTCAAATCACTTTTCATCCTTACATTTTAAAGGATCCATAAGTACTACCCGCAACATAAAAATTAAAGTTTGAATTTTCCACGAACGTTTAAAAACAATAACATAAGGGAATCTTTATAGATGTGAAACCGAGTTACAGACCTCGATGAACACATGATGAATCTGAGAAGCATTTGTCCATGCAAGATTTGTTGATTAATGGGAGGATAACGAACAACATTCTTACTTTCTTTTAATCTATTTATAATTTAGACAGTTTATGAACTCTTTACAAATAAAAATTAAATGTATTTGTCATGAATTTTATCAATTGTTTATTCTATAGTTCTATCATCTATGGCAATGACTGAATTAGGTACAGTGATGATAATATAATGATAATTAATAATGATTTTAACAATAACAATAATTATAATAGACGTAATAATAATACGGGTTTCAATATTAATTCGCGTGAATACTTCTTTATAATATTTTAAATCAAGGTATTAATAAAATTATAATTTAAGATACTTCGGAAAACATTATGAATTAGCTCGTGTCACTGAAAGTGGATTCGTGATATATACTAAAAATGACGTCACTATCACACAATCTTCAATATAAAATAATTGTTTTCGTTCTAAAAATATAAACCTTTCTTCTTAATGATACAAGAGTAATTTCACATTAGTTTAGAAACAAAAATAAATAATTATCCCTTAACATTTCATTAATTAGTATATTTTGTCATACTTTTGTATTATTATTATTATTTTGGAAAAATATGATGGGAAATAAGTCATTTTACGCCCTACCAAAAGACTTCTTGAACGAATTAAAGACATGATGTGCTAATTAACGGAATGTTAAATATAAAAATGCCGTTAAAAAGTTTGTGACTTAAATATTACAATGAGCAGAAATTGAGAACCTAATAAATTACTAAATTATGGTGCAACAGATAAAAATTGTGATGCAAATATAATTAAACTTACGTTAATTCCCTCAAAAAGTTAACATTTTTCTCACCTAAAAATAAGTCTAACACACAAGACCTCTGACGATAATGTTATCTAACATCAACGATGCTAAATAACGTTATTCAATCCATAAATATAACTGCTCCACAAAGATGATAGTGATTATTGATTTATCATAATTCATGCCAAATTGTTGTAGTACATAGTTGCATGAGTTTTGCTACATTTACAGGGGGAGTTGATAAAGTTGGATGATAAAATTATATCCACAACAATAATTTCAAAAACAGATTTTCAGATCGTTGGAAATCAATGGCCTGAATTTTATCACCCAACTTTTCAACACAATTTGTACAAATAGCTTTATTGTAGCTGCATACAATCAATGTCATGGATGATGCCTATTGCATAAAGGGAGGCCATGGCAGTAGCCATGGAGGAGTAGGGTGGCATGTTTTTTGGTTTTTAGTTTAATTATTAATAATATTTGAGAAAATATTAATTCTAAGTTACCATTTTACCCTTTTTATTTAATCAAAATTGGTCAAAAGTGCATTTTTCTTGATCAACTAATGGTCAAATGAATTTGCTAATTTTTCAAAGGTCTGAGAAAAATGTTAAATTTTGCTAAAAATTCAAAGGTTATTGTTGCAATTTCCCCTATTTTCTATTCTAGAAAACATAACAAACAGATAGGAAAATTTGGAAAAAGAAAAAAGGAAAGAAAATAATATGCATTTTTTCTTCAATATTTATCTTTTCTTTTTCTTTCTATGAACATTAGATTTTTTATTAAAAATATTTTTTTCTATTGATTATATTTATTTCCATTTTTCTTTTTCTGTTTGTTATTGTTCATCTTTCTTTTCTATGAAAATTGAATTCTTTTAACTTTTCTTTCCTTCTTTTTATCATTTTTTGTGAAAAATATATAATTTTAATTAAATTATAAAACATTAAACAAATTAATTTAAATTAAATTTTTATTTATTAATAATAAATAAAAGCAAAGAAAAATAATCAGTTTAAATTTTAAAACAATTATATTTTGAAATTTTTGCAATTGTTTTATGTCCACCTAGTCTGAAGATTTATCCCTATTTGGTGTGGTGCATATTAAAATTAGATTTTATTAAAAATTAATAAAATTTATGATTGAAAAGTTATGATTTTCATGAAGTGTGGAGTTAAAATTAACATTATAACAAAAATAGCCATTTGCAAGGCAACATTCATGCACCATTGACTAAGATAAATGAGTTTTGACAAAAAAAAAATTAAATGTACGTTGTAAATGCTACTTTTTTCAACGTTCATTAAATTTACATATTTAGCATTTTTTGCAACAGTCATTGTCTCTTACAAATACCTACATTTTTTGCAACGTTGCGAAAACGAACTCTTTTGCAGTGCTCATTGAATGTTGCGAAAAATTTACATATTTTGCGCTTTTTATAACGGTCATTGCCTCTTGCAAAAATCTACACTTTTCGTAACAAACTCTTTTGCAACTTTTGGGTGAACGTTGCTCAAGCGCGCTCATTCATAACATTTGCAACATTCAATTCAAATCCACTTCCAATTAATTATTAATCAGCCGAAAATCAGTTAGCCCAATTTTACCCATACCAAAATTAAGAGAAGAATAACGTCAACCCTAAATCCACCTACTCTCTTCTCTCATTCACACCTTGCACGTTCTTCTAAGTCTCTATCTCCGGCGGAATCTATCCCTGCATACCAATTCTTCCTTCCAATCTCTCACCGTCCCATGCTCTCCCCTCTCTCTCTCCCAGTCGTGGGAACTCTTCAGGTTTTCCATCATTATTGCGACCAAGGTACTCTCTGTTAGATACCGAACTAGTTTCTATTCTTTTAGGGCTTTTATTTTCTCCAATGTGGTATCTATGTTTTTAATTAATAATTTTTCCCAATTTTAACTTCGGATAATTTCATCTGCTTCTTCACTCTACAATTTCAGCGGTTCATCGAGGAGGCCGCTGCCGCCGTGCTGTCTCACTGGGCGCCGTCGAAATAGTAATACTGTTCGAAGTATTGGAGCTCTAACTAACTCTTCAATTTCTGATTTCTTTGGAAGTATGAGACTTAGCTCAACCCCAAATCTGTTGAATTTACAATACAAGCAGAGCAGAAGAAGTTTATCTATTTTCGCCATGACCGCTGATGGTATATTACTCTTTCATCTCTTAGAATATATAAATGTGGATTATATTATTATATTTGCGCTTTTTGTATCTTTATTGTTCATGTAGATGAATTTTGTTTAATGGGCTCCTCTTATGTATGTTCATCCAATAGTGGATGTTAAATTGTTCGATTTCTGTTTTATTTTCCTGCATTGTCTAAGTTTACATTTGTTAATTTTAAGTTGTCTATGTTATGATTCTCGTGGTACAATATTGCCTGTTGAAGAATTCTTATGGTTTTAACTAAATATTGGTTGTTTATTTGCAAGAGGATTCTGGACGTATTGAAAATTTGGTTGGAGAATAATATGCAGGGAAAGTGTTTGATAAACGGTCAAAATGATGCCATTGGCGAGGTTAAAGAGGGAGATAAAGTAAGTAAATAATAGATGACTGACATGTCACTTTAAAATCTAAAACTTGCCTTGTCAAGCCTGTATTTCTCGTTTGATTCCCTTGTATACTTCCAGTTCATTTTGTTGAATATGGTAAATAAAAAATTCCAAGTTGGTCAATTGGTGATGACTTGTGGAAAACTTCTGGAAGAACTTTTCCTTAATCTTTTTCTGGAAGAACTTTTCCTCAATCTCTTCTTCTATCATTGCTTATTGTTTAACGGCTGCCATCTGCGACAGCTCACGGTAGCTGATTTACTCTCAATCTAACATATTTCAGTTTGTTGATTCTCGGCTAACTATTGCTTTTCCAGCTTACCTTTCTGATTCACAGTCTTCTGTTTCTATATCCCAGTAGTCTAACTTTTCATCGCTTTACTATTTTTTGAATAACGCTTAAACTATTGCTAGAGTAGAAAATTTTTGCATTTAAATGGTTATCTTCTAGTAAACAAAACATTGCAAGGTCCATCCAACAGTAGAATTAGACATCCGTCATATTGGTGCTGAACTTACATGTTGGATTCGGATTCTGTGTCCAAAAAACTGAATTTGTTTAGGATAAGACAGAATTAGGAGTTGGTTCAATCAATTTTCAATATCTAAGCATTTTTTATGTTTTCTTCGAGTCACTTTCTTTTCAATTGTGCTGCATAAAAAGGTGTCTTCATAGTTGTAAAGTGAAACTTGCTACTTAGTTTCTTCTGGGTCTTTAGTTTACCAATTTGCTGGATATCATCTTAATGCATTTGCTCTGCTCTTATTGTTTAGACTTATCTTTCTGTTTCTAATTTCGACAACCATGGCGTGGGCTTGCGGGTTCCTCTTGATCTGGTCATTGACCACTCAGTTCAAGTCGATGTTGCTAGATTAGAAAATGCTGTCCAAGCAAATATGGAGCTTGAGTTCCAGAGGAACAAGGAGAGATTTGCGTTTCTTAAGTGGAGATCTAATGCTTTTCACAATATGCTTGTTGTTCCTCCAGGTTCTGGTATATATTTCATCTTATTTATGTAATAACTTATATATAAAATAAACCAATTTCTTTTGGGCTCTTATTTCCTCATTTATTTTCCACCTGATGCCAATATTGTGATACTATTTAGGAGTTGCTGGTTGGGGAGTCCACAATGTATTATTGTACAGTGTTCGTAAAAGGGTTTGATTATTGTATTGCTCCGAGTGCCTATTTGTTCACAGGTTTTTCTTTCATTAACATGTCCTGTCGAAAAAATTTTGAAGGTAGGGGAAGCTGAGAAGAATTTGGGACATACAGGAGATGTCAACCTTTACGCTCAGATGATTGATGATGGTGAGGGCCTGGAAAAAATTGAGAACTGCAGTCATGATAATAATGAGATTTACGAGAAGGCAGTAAAGATTTTGGAGACTGGGTCGACGAGGAAGATGTTGAATTGGCACCTCCTGGAGATGCCTCCCAAGAAAGCTTCCAGTTTGGAGGTGGAGATGTCTCTGTGCCTTTTGTGGATTCAGTGTCAAATGAAGGTTGGTATCCCCCAGGTACATACCGAAAGGAGGTGCATGAATGTCGTGCTATTGAACTGACCTATTGAACAAATGCTGATCCGCATAGATTGAGCATGGAAGCTGTCACAATTGTTCAATCACCTTTCATTTTTTGAGATGTCTTTGTGAATTGTATTTGCAAAATTGTGCACCCTTTTTAGGTGGTATTGTATCACATTTAATGTTTTTGTGTATGATTCAAAAATTTGTTTTTATGCAATTCCAATATTTGTTTATTAGGATTTATCTTTGATTTTGCTAGTCAACATGCATAAATTAATGCAAAAAAAAAAAAAAAGCTTACGATAGTTGTCAGAAAATGTTGTAAAAAAAGTTATTCGCAACGTTCAAAAAACGTTACAAAAATGTTATTTACAACAGTCAAAAAATGTTATTTACAACATTCAAAGCGGTCAGCGAATGATACAAAAACATGTAAAGGCAATAAGTAAAAAACGTTGCAAAAAGCAAAAAGTTCTTTGCAACGTTCAAGTTCTTCTTTGTCAACGCTACTAAGGCGACCGGTTAGGGAGTGCCTACTTGACGTATGAAAGATAATGAGAATGGGTTATTCAAAAAGAAAAAGGTGCTTCTTAGTTTCGCAAGCTTTTGTCATTGTCAGTCAACTAAGTAGGGCCTGAGGCCCCCTGCGAGATTTAATCTGCACGAAACAAGGACTTGGTGTTTGCATTGGTGGAAATGAATTGTACACTGGATTGAATGTCTTGTCCTTGGCTCTAAGACCTCTATCTCGTAGTTCGAATAGTCTGAACATGGCCAACTTTACATATTTAATGCAAGATCCATTTTAAATTTAACAAGGATGACAAAATGTTCAACTTTTGTGTTGCATCGCCCCATTCTGGTTAGTTGGAAAACTAGGACGACAATGGAGAAGATGGTCAAGACCCAACTGAGATTATTTTAAGTAAATGGGAAAGGGGTGGGAAATGAGGATATTTTAATCCCGCTCCGTTTGTTGCCATACCTAAGAGTTAAATACATTGCTTTGTTTGATCACACAGTTTTAAAAAGGAAAAGAAATAGAAGTACTTACAAGCAGATTTCCGTTAGCTATTTTGCTTAAGTACTAATGTGCCAGCTCTTGAATGAAAGCAGGTTTTTCAATTACAAGGAGGATAAGAAGCTATGATCTAAAAGAGGTATCACACAACGATCGAGGTATAACAAGATTGAACTCTCAACTTAGCTTTACAAGGTCGGAAACTTCTTCTCTTTAATGCCATTTTCATAAATATATCAACATTAACAGGCATAAATGTCAGCAAGATAATCAGCAAGGTGCACGTGAGTGTATTTTCCCGCTCAAACCATCTTAACCATCTGAAATGTCTCTAGTCTGTTACATTACATATACAGTTGTGTATCTATATATCAATAGATAAATGGCACTGAAAATTACATTCTCAAATTCAGTGTTGGTCCTAAAAATTTTGAAGTACTAGGCGACTATTTATTATGAAGCCCTCCAACATAATTTTTTGCTCCAAGTGTAACAATATTTAAATGGAATAATGCTACTTGTACATAAGTAACTATATAATGATTTATGTACAGATGAGATGTTCAAAAAAGAGTATAGAAGTTTTTTTATTTGATTGAAGAAATTCTTACTTAATCATAGCTCACCACATCTTATGTATGTAAATCATTATATAAATATATTATGTACATATAGTACAATCGATTTAAATATTTAAATAATTAACACTTTTATATTAAAAAGAGAATTTTATGCAATTAAAAGTAATATGTAAAATATGTATAGTTACCCAAAAAAAAAAAAAAATGTAGACACACACACAAAAAAAAAAAGGCCCATTAAGCAAATAACTCAAAAGGATGAGAAAAAAACCCCATTGCAAAACCATAAGTCAAAACAATCACCAAATGCAATATAATTAAAAGAAAGTAACATGAGCAAAACACCAATGTGGAGTAATTATACAAACACCAGATGGAGAAAGTGGATCTCACGCGATACAAACTATTTTTGTAACAAGTTGTAATTAATTAATCACCTTCCATTTCGTTGTTTATAACTCCAATAATAAATGTAGATCAATTGAGATTTAGCAAATGGATCATTGCTTCAAAAACTATCATCCTAGGTCTACCAAAAATAAAATAAAATAATTAATACAATAAATCAACCGTAACTACCTTCTCTTTCAATAGCTGGTATCTTGGCCATGTCCAAAACCACTCAAAAACCAAGAACCCACGTTTTAGATTTTACTTCAACAACTCAAAATCAAAATAATCACTCTACTGTAGCCAAATATTGAACACCAAAAAGCAAAAAATTATGGCCTATATTCTGCCAAATCGTTCTCCAATACTCCAATATAGAGAAAAATCCTCAGCTATTGTTTTTCAGCAACAACCTTCTTAATCGAAACTACCTTCTCTTTCAACAGCTGGTCGTTCTCTTCATCTGGACCCTTCTCCCCTAACTCCAATTCCAATATTCTTGCCTAAAATCTTGAAAAACATAAAACAAATGAATTTAGATTATAAATATTTTCCCCAAAAAGGACGGAACAATAGTATAAATATTACCTTGAGATTTTTGAGATTTTTGGAAACCTTCAAGAGAATCGAGATGCAGCAATTGTGGGTGGGATATTGGGAATTGATAATTTTTTTGGTGAAGAGAGAAAAAGAAAGACCGTCCATTTCCTGTCTTTTAAGCATGTATTATTTTTTTTTAGGGATTTAAGGGGTTTTGGATTGGGGAAAATTTTTTTTGGGCTCATTTTTCTTATGAGGCCCTTGAAATTTGAGGTGAAGGCAATGGCCAAGGCCGGCCCTGCTCAAATTGCCCTCCCCTTCGTATTATATAAACCGGTCTCATCTTCTTCTTCAAAAACCCTATTCTCTCTCTCTCACTCTCACTCTCTCTCCCCCTAACTCTCTCTGCTTTTCCTCTAGAGATGAATAATATTATCAAGAAAAATCAAGCTCCTGTATAATTTTTTATTGTTTAATCAGGTAATTAATTGATTTCATCCCCGGCTCTCTCTCTCTCTCTCTCTCTCGAACACTCTGTTTTTCTCTAGAAACGAACCATAGCGGAAGAAGAATAATCAAGCTCCTGTATGATTCTTTGTTGTTTAATCAGGTAATTAATTGATTTGATCACTTTTCTTTCTATTTATTTGCAGAATTTTTCAAAAGCACCGTATGAGCGTGAATATATTTGCAGATTTTAGGATAAATTCGGTTCTTAATTCTTGTTCGTTAATCAAGAAATGTGAATAAAACTTTTGTATTGGTTGGATGAATTGGTGTGTATCTGTATGCATACTTCTTGTTCAATCCATCGTTTCTTTGCTCGGCGTTCATGTGGATTTCAAAGTCACTGGATTTATTTATTTCTGTTTGAATATTATTTCTGTAATTAAGTGAAACGTTTGGGACTGCACTGCAATTTTCCCTAATTAAACTGAATATTTACATAAATATCTTGGCGCACATTCTCACATCATTATAATCATTTGAAAGAAATTAACATCCTCTCGCCATTGAGAAGCTTCTGTTCACAAATTCTAATTCAATTGGATTTTGACACAAAAGTAAGTTGATTCCATTCTTTTGAGTTAATTTATCTGAATTAATTACTGCGGTTTCTACACCTTCTTAATCGTCCTCAAGTTTGTTGATTACGTATTTGGTTGATCTTTTGATTAAATCGTATATTGTCCAGTGGTGTAAAACATACTCAAACTATGGAGGATGTTTAGTAATGTTTAATTGTTCGATTTACATAATTAACTTGGTTGGTGATGTGCTAATTGTCAGATCGTGGTTAATTGCAAAGTTTCAGTCAATTTTCACTTAAATTTCTGGAAGGATGATTGAATTGCAGGACGAATAGTTAGATGAATCTATTATTTAATTTTTGCATCGTTGTAAGTTAGGCATGCTGCATGCAGATTCACAGTTAGATATGGATTCAATTACATACTAATACATCTATAATTTATGTTATAAGTAAAACTAAAACTGTTGAGGTGTCCAATTATGCTTCTGTTGTTTTACTTTGAAGCAAAAGTAAGTTGATCATTCTATTATTGTCCAGGGGAGGGATAGAACGAAGCATCAAACTAGGAAAAATAAAATTCAATAACAAATTGAGAGAAACTATGCAATTTCATTAAAATAATTTTTTTTTAAAAATAATATGGTGAGTCAATTTGGCTTGTCCCACCAAGGGCATGAGCTTGTGAGGTCAGTCAAGCCTCACTTTGTTGAGCAAGCCTCCTCCCCCTTGACTTGTCCCGTAGGCTAGCACGAGTCGAGCTCGAATGTTGATTAATCAAGTGGTTCAACTCGTCTCATTTAACATCCGATGTATACATATAGAGATAAGAGAGTGTGTATAGACAATCATGCATACACACATATACACATGTTTATGTACTGTATTCCACCTATAGCTTGAATTGGAGGGAAATGTATAATCATATAAATGTCCCCCAACAAGACCTAATGCCATGTGTGGGTTCCCATATTTTTATGTGGTTTAATCTTTTATATTTGATTGAAATGAGGAAGCACTAATCAAAAATAGATTTTTTACAATATAAGACAAGGTTTGTTTAAACAATCCACTCATAGTTAATTATGATTGCCAATTCAAGCCTTCCTTCATAGACAAGGAAATAAAATTGCAAAGGCCTATTCAATAACACATTGTGTGTTTACGTTTGATGCAAAAGTAAGTTGATTCCATTCTTTTGAGTTAATTTATCTGAATTAATTAGTGCGGTTTCTACACCTTCTTAATTGTCCTCAAGTTTGTTGGTTACGTGTATGGTTGATCTTTTCATTAAATTTTATGTTGTCCAGTGGTGTAAAACATACTCAAACTCTGGAGGATGCTTAGTAATGTTTAATTGTTCAATTTACATAATTAACTTGGTTGGTGATGTGCTAATTGTCAGATCGTGGTTAATTGCAAAGTTTCTGGCAATTTTCACTTAAATTTCTGGTAGGATGATTGAATTGCAGGATGAATAGTTAGATGAATCTATTATTTAATTTTTGCATCTTAGTAAGTTAGGCATGCTGCATGCAGATTCAAAGATAGATATGGATTCAATTACATACTAATACATCTATAATTTATGTTATAAGTAAAACTTAAACTGTTGAGTTGTCCAATTGTGCTTCTGTTGTTTTACTTTGAAGCAAAAGTAAGTTGATCAGTCTCTTATTGTCCAGGGGAGGGATGGAATGGAGCACCAATGTCAGCTTCATATTGTGAGACCTTCGTTCTTTTCCTGGCATTTCTTAATAGCCCCTGTTTTCTTTTTTGACTAATGGCCTGTGTATATATTAATTACTGTAGGACTCGAAATCGAGGGCACCCGAATTTATTCCTGCTAAAATAACTTCACTACCTGATGAGATCATTCTCCTTGTATTGTCAAAACTTGACACTAAGTCAGCTGTTGCACTCTGCACTTGATCCAGGAGATGGATAAATCTTCCCCTCCTAAGTCGTTACATATTCTAACACGAAATTCAATGAACTTAGGTACGTAACCTTCGTGAAAATAAGAGAGAGTGAAAAAAGTATACTAACATAACTAGTTCTATTATTAGAATGTGAGTTTCCAGTGTTAGATTTTACGAGTATAGCATTTTCCGACAAAGAGAGAGACCACAGACCATTGAAGTTGTCGATAAAATTGCACACTGTCTCCCGATTTTGCACATTCTCTACAATAAGAATTTGCACTCTAACAAGAAACTTAAGTTTCTTCATCAAACTGAACTCAAGCGACTTACTTAAGTAATTAAAAATTTTTAGTTTCGGCGCATCAATGGAAAGCTTAGTGTCTAACATATCATCATAACCAAATTTGAATTTTTTTTTTTTTTTTTTAAGGTTTTGCATGGTAATATAAAAAACTTTTATGTGTCTCAATGAACCAGATAAGGAAAATGTGTTCCAGTGAATTAGATAAGGACAACTCTTCCAGAGATTTACAACCTGCGAAGAACCGTCTCATTAAATCATTATCAACAGCACTTGAAGTGTTGAAATTTAGAAGACATTGTTTTTGATGTCCTCGAAGTTGTATCCTTACTTAATTTGAAATGGTTTCACTCTGTAGATTTAATGCATATCAAGGAATCCTTTTTTTTCTTGAGCCTGAAATAAAGGATTCTTTTGAAATGCAAAGAATAGTTCATTCTAAGTTAAAGGATAAGAGACCTTCGAGTTCTACCATTGAACTAATAGCCAGTCGTGCGAGCCTCCCATTGGGGGCTCGCTATGCCAAAAGTGAGAGGAATCCCATCCCTTTCTTTCCTTTTTTGGCCCCCATGTCGCTACACGGAGGGACATGAGGACGTAGAAAAGGAGATCCTATTAACTTGTTCCGACCTAAGATTATAAGCTCATTAATTTTACAGAGTGGAACACCTTTAGATTAAGTAAGGATACAACGTTGGGGACATAAAAAACAATATGTCATTTATGTTTCAGCATCTCAAGTGCTGTTGATAGTGATTCAATGAGATGATTCTTCACAGGTTGTAAATTTGTGGAGGAATTATTATCTGGTTCATTGGGACACATAAAAGTTTTTGATATTGCCATATAAAACCTTAAAAAGATTATTTTCAAATCTGGTTATGTCAGACATTAAACTTTCTATTAATGCGCCGAAAGTAGAAATTTTAAATTACCTAGGTAAAATCCCTTGAGTTCAACTTGATGAAGAAATTTAAGTTTCTTTTCAGAGTGCAAATTTTTATTGTAGAGAATATGCAAGATCGAGAGACAGTTTGCAATTTTATTGACAGCTTCAGCGGTGTGAAGTCTTTTTCTTTGTCAGAAGATGCTATATTAATAAAATCGAATGCTGAAAACTCATATTCTAATAATAAAATTAGTTATGTTAGTATATTTTTCTCACTCTCTTTTATTTTCACGAAGGCTACGTACTCAAGTCTATTGAATTCTGTGTTAGAATATGTGACGACTTTGGAGTTGGCGATTGCTGATTCCATAATAGTGCGGGGCATCCTTGGAAGTGCTTCCCAACTTAAAGAGCTGATCATTCATTCAGTGAGCTATCATTTTTTAGATTAGCAAACAAATGGTAAATTTTTTAACATACTAATTTTTTCTTCAACAGCATGCTTACTTAAGCACTCGGGCATCTACTCCAGCATGGGATGTAGCTCTATATCGTTCGCCAGACACCGTGTCATCGTGTTTGGTAGAACACCTTAGGAGGATTGAATTTTCCATATTCAGTGATAAACCGCATGATATTCTGCTGATAGAGTACTTTCTAAGGCATGGGAAGATGCTGAAAAGATGGTATTTTCTGGACTGCAAGGCATAGCTCCATATATTCTAACATTCAAAGAAAAAATTGAAGGATTCAGTAAATGTTCAGAGTGCATGTTTGATTACAAAAATCTATAGGAAATTAGAACGACTACATTTCAAATATTCCGTAACGATCAAGAACATACATATATGGCATGTTTTTTGGGCAAAGTATTTTTTTTCCCCTGAATATTGACTGAAGAGTTTTACTCAACTCCTAGCATTACTGATGTTTGGCAGATAGATTTCTTGTAATGTCCATAAAGGAAAGTGAAAAAATGAAGGAATTTGAAAGGGTCATGTGGGGAGACATTATGGAAAAATGAGGATGCAGTAGAAAAGAAGTATACGCGAGTATTATATTTCCATTTTAAATGAATTACAATGGAGGTCACCCGATGGTGGGGTTGCAGGTGGCAGTGGCAATAGAAAGTATATGGAAGAACAAAAAGGATTATGCTGACCAGCTAGTTTAAAGTGACGTCTGCCTAACTCCATTTCATTTGTGTGCACAAAGGATAGAGTATAATTTGGATTTGACTTGTCATACGTAGCATTTGATTCTAGTCTCATAAACAGGAGTCAGCAAAAATATGGAAAACTTAAACACGAGGTAAGGACACACAAAAGAACAATAACGCGTATTTTCAGAAAATTAACCAAGTGGGTCGGGAAGGCAACAGGACAGGACATCTACATTGTTTAGTACCCCAATTATATATATTTTATTTAATTTTTACTTCTTTATTTGAGTACAATGGGAACTCAGCTAATAGGTTTGGACACAAAAAAGTTGGACTAAAGTGTTTCTAAACAAATTTTGACTCCTCTCCATCCCCACACTAACTGTGGGGCTCAAATTGACATCCCTACAAGTCATCAAAGCTCTGAGGTAATTTCCATTTCAAATGTACGTTACTATGTATAAAGAAATATAGACTTTAAGAATGTTTTTGTTTTTATTAAAATTGGCTCTCTTAATTCCAAATTATTTTGAAAGATCTAGTTAAAGATAATTGCTTTGTGTTAGCAAACCATCATCCTGAAAAATGGGTCAAATAAATCTTTCTAATTTTTTCTTTCAAATGATTTGAATTTGGACTTCATATAAACTATTAAAGTAAATGTAAACTTGAGTAATTAAAATATTTGGAAGGACAAAATGATCATTTTAGCTTGATTATAATTATCGAATACATGATGACTGGATCATTGGATAACATTATGATATTATGTAAGCTTATGTCATTTTATATAATTAAAAAGTGCAATCTCACGCCTTTAGTAAAATGAATAGAGACTAACAATTAGACCAACAGTCCATAGTTAAATGGACTATATTTAATTACTGAAGTTTGAATTATATAGATCTAATCAAATCTCCAAGTTAGGATTTGAGTTATGCAAAAATGGTTCTGAGTTACAGGCATATGTGTGCTATAAATAAGTCTTTTATAATAATTTTCTATATATCGGTAGTCACAATGTCGAAACACACAGTAAAAAGTGCATTGTGCGTTTTGCTCCAATGGACAAACCCTAATTGAACATAATTGCTTCTACATTATTGGTTGGCTGTGAGATTATATCATTTAATAACTCTCATGATGATAGGGATGGATGCATGCTTAATAGATTATTCATTCATATAAATAATTATTATATTTTACATGCATTCTAAAAATTGAAGAAATTTGCCTCCTATTTTGATTGGTCAAGATAAAGATTAAATTTGGGGTAGTTATTATTTATTCATCTCACTCTATATTCATCCCTATTATAATATTAAATTTTAAAAAAATTACTATTGTCGTCCACGTCACATTCCAATATTGTATTTATTAAATTATTTATTTAAAAATTATATATCCCCACAAATTTTATATATTAATCCCACTCTAAATAGTAAATACATCCCTAATATAATTTCAGAATTTTAAAAAATCACTATATTCATCCCTAATACATATAACATCAACTTTATTATAATTCAATAATTAATTCTATAGACAAAATTATAATGCAAATAAAATTAAAAGTCCCGTAGGTGTGTTATTTGTCACATGAATTGGTCCGTTATATTTGATTGACGAATATTCATTTTTGTATTTGATAAAAATCAACATTTTGTGGTTATGAATAATTTTGAAATAAATAAAATTTATATATGAATTTGAAATAAATGGTAAAGTTTGAATGCTTTAATTAAGGCTAACCACATCATAGCTCTAAGGTGGATATGTTAGATATTGCTTCCAAAATAACAAGTGTTGGCCATCATCACGGTATTAAATTGCATAAAATTATATGATCAAAATCAATTACGACAATAATAATAAGTGTTATCATTACATCTTTCACAACCTATGATCTATCCAAGTTAATTATCTTTGATATAGTTACATCTTTTTTCATTAGAGACCTACTATAACACCCTGCATTTTTCTTACTATGTGGACCTAAACTTATCATTTAGTAAATAAAAATGTCTAGATTCGTCGTTACACTAAAAGTCCAAAGGTTGGAGTGGTAAACTCGACTCGCTTATTTGCATAAATGATTATTTGCTTACGTACACTTTATAATTTATCAGTAAGCTATTTGGATTGAATATTTAAGTATTTTTAAAGTTGACAAATATTATACTTTTTTTGTAATTCGTGTTAAATAATATAATTTATGTTCAAGAAAGAGTAATTTTGAGCTAGTTATGTCCGAGTTGTTCTAATAGAAAGGAAAGGTATCATTCTCAAATATTTTATTAATATATATTGTTGATCCCGACAGGTTGTAAAGAATGAAATTAATGGAGCAATATGAAGTAATAAGGATTGCAACAATATAACAATTTATATCAAGGTTTAAAGTAAAGAAGAAAAGAGAGTTAAACGCAAAAGTAAGATGTATTATTATTCGACAATATGGAGAGAATTACAACGACACAGCAATAAGACTTCTGCTAAACTGAAAGATGAGACCTATATTTATAGTACACGAGTCTAACCCTAGAAGTTGGCAAAAGATGGAAACTAGGTCAAGAAAACACATAAAAATAAAAATCGGTGCCGCACCCAAGAGAATGCTCTATGCAACCGAACATGCCCTAAATGTGTTTTACAACACTAGACAATATACAATTAATCAAAAGATCAATAAGTAATCAACAAACTTGGGGTCCAGATCAAAGATAGCAAAAATAAGTAGTTCACCCCAGATCAACAGATTATGATGTTAAATTAAGAAGCTGTAGAAACCGCACAAATTAATTGAGATAAATTAACTCAAAGATAATCGAATTAACTTATTTTTGCGGCCAAAATTTCAACGAATTAGAATTTGTGAACAAAAGCTTCAAGATTCACAATGGCATGAGGATATTAGTTTCTTTCATCCGATTGTAACGAATGTGATTATGTGAGAATGGGCTCCAAGATATTTATTTACTATCTCAACATGAATGTTCAGTTTAACTAGGGAAATTTGATGTTTCAGTCCCCAAACCTTTCGCTTAATTGCAGATTATACTAAAAAAAAATTTAATTTAAATTAAAAAAATCTATGGAAAATTGTTTTTTCTATGTATCAGTGAGAGAGAAAAAAAAAAAAGAAAAAAAAGCCATAGCTTGATAATTTATTTACTTGCTCGCTTAGTTTATTCGAACCTTTCATTTGGTCTTCTAGTTGTGGCATTTTAGTATTTTTTTTTTTTTTTTTTGCTTACTTGGGCACTATGGGACGGACTATTAGCAAAATAAGGTCTCAATTAGTCTTGAACTAATTCTACGTTTAAATAGGATTGAATATTTAAGTGCATTGTACCATATTTGTCAATTCACTTTAAATAAAAGAAGGTCGAGTATTTGTTTTAATTAGCTAATGTGATATTAGTTTTAGGGAAAATTGCAGCTGAGATACCAAACATTTCGTTTATTAGCAGACTTTGCCCAAACCTTTTATTTGTGCCACAGGAGGTACCAAATCTTTCAAAAATCCGCACCCGAAATCAAAATGGATGGAAACCGTCCATTTATTTATAGTCCAGCCCATACACTAATTTACCCCAACTCCAAGTGCACGATGACATTTTCCGACTCTTTTCCCTCAACAAGAAATTAAAATTTTTCTTTAAATCGCCCTTGTTTTGAAATATTTTCAAAGTTCATTTCTTTCCTAAAACTTACATTTTCTTGGACCCTCAAATTTGCAACAAAAATTTTCTCCATCATGTGATTTTTCTGTTTAATACTAAGGATTTTGATTATGTGAATGTTGAATATCGATAATATTTGTGATGGATTCTCGAATTTTGATTTTTGTCAATTAATTAAACAATTAGTAATGATTTTATGGTGTTCTACCAATTTGTAAAAATTAGTAGTTCTTTACTTATCAATTAGTACTTAATTGTCACTTGTGGTTTATTTTAGTGTGAAGTGTCAATGTAGAGATTCTTTAAAAGAAAACATTTCGTAGAAAATATTGATGCGAAGATATTGAATAAAATGGATTTTGATGTTGCATAACTTACTACAGATTCTAGAATAAGGAAGAAGATGATTATCTTATTAGTGTTGTCGTTATGTTATTTTTAGCATTGTCGAAATATCATTAAATTCATAACCGAAAAGTTCGACCTTGATTAAATTTTGCCCGCACTGAACAAAATTTCTGGCTCTGCTCCTGACATTGATCATTGATGCTTTAATTGTCTAAGTTTCATGGCAAAATCAATCGTCATCTCAATGGCGTTTGTTTTCAATTATTGTTGTTTGACCAAACCAGTTTGTTCATTGGTCCGAGCTTTAAAGTAGGGCAATTCCGAAAGCACAAGTTTGGAGGGTCACCAGGAATTACTGAGGAAAGCTATATTGGTGGTAGGCGTAAAATGGTCGTTTATGTTCCAGGACACAATCAGGGCATCCGAACACACAATCAGGAATGGCTTAAGGCCAAGTGTGGTGACTAAGAAAGGGAATCAGTTCGTCATTTAAGTCCAGTTCAACAGCAAACCCTAAAAATATATAATATATTTTGAAAAAAGAAAACTTTTACAACTTCCTAAAAGACAAACCTTTTAAAGAAATTCTTGAGGATTTTGTTGGAAATGGTATATTCGATGTGGATGGAGATTGTTGACCTCATGAATTGGACCCTCTACATGGCCAACGGATAGCTACTCCACATAATCTTCCCTGCGCACAACAATGCACGATC